TTATAATGTTTTATTAAATAAAGTTTGTTCATGTAATATTACATGTGACTTGCAAGAACTGAAATATTTCAAATTAAATAATGGTATGGACGTGCTAAGTGTGTGTATGGAGAATTTTTCTTACTTATTTATTTGTTACAGAATTGAAATTCACTCCAGGTATGTAGTTTTGATAAAGGTAAATCTAATTTTCTCAAAAGTGATAAAAGTGGACATTTCTCCTTTCTAATAGCCCTTCATTTCGTGATCTCATAATGTCGATCCATCTGTTCGCTTGACTGGCGTCGAAAGCTGGCAGCTTGTCTGGCGTCTTTTTCTGGCAGCTGGACGCCATGGCATCGCTGTTGGTGTCGCTGCCATGGCATCCTAGTGCGATACCGCCCTTATTGTACGATTCCAATAAAAGTTATTGCTCACGAAGTAAAATGCGCGTGTTTGATTACCTACATCACAACAATAAAATTTTAATTTACTTAAATCTCTTTTTGTTTTTATATTCCTTCCGCGAGTTTTACACGAACAGTGACAATGACTACTCTCGGAGAATGGCCAAGTTGTTCTCCAGTGACCGATGCGCGTCCGTGTGCTTCCGCTAAACATGTTTGACGAGAAGACGTTCTGGTGTGTGACCTCGGCAGCCCCAGGTCCGCAGAATTCTCAATTTTGTTCGAAGTTGCAGTGTTGACGGTTCGTTCCTTGTCTGTTAGTCGGGCAAGACGATCTCTGACCCCGTCATTTCCGTGACCTAATTCTCAATGTGTCCGCTGAAGCACAGGAAACTGTTAGCTATGCTCATTCTCCTATCTCGTTTTTGTTAATACAACCGTTTACCTAGCCCATTTTAATATTATCTTCCAATTTAGTCTAGGTCTTTCAAGAAGAGCGTTCCCTTCAGTATTCTACACGCATTTCTCATCTCCCCGTGCGCACTGCATGCCTTGCCCAACTTATCCTCCTTGATTACAGTAATCTTCAATTATTGCGTGGAGACTGATAATTCATGTGCAATTTGAAAATCATCTTGAAATCCATTAATTATAAGCCACTCTGAAGGCGAAGGCGACACTTTCTTCGAAAAAGTTAACAAGACTCGAACCCAGAACATCACCATCGACATTTTCACTGCCGCGAGAACCTCAAATCTAACTTTGACCCATGTTTGTACAATAACTTTTGTTGGTGAATCCATTGCAGAAAGCAATTATTATAAAATCAAGGGTCTATTGACACATCCCGAGACATTTGCTGGTGCAACTCGACCTTGCTCGTCTAGAATGGCGCATTCGAGTACTGAGTGACATGCACGCTGCCTCTGCAAAATTTCCACTCATATGTCTGCTAGAGCCATCTAGTAGGAATCAGGAGAGACATCGGTGAGAAACATGGCAGCTGATTTTGCCGACAAGCATCTCTCTTTCGCGCTTGCAGGGTACTTTTACATGCCGCAAATATATGACATGGGACCGACGGCTTTATTCTTCTCCAAAGGAAGTTGTGCTACAGATTTTTACCACCCTTAAAAAACCATCAATCTCCGCAGGGTTTGAACCCACAAACCTTGGATCCAATGGCGAGAACGCTAACCACGAGATCATGAAAGTAGGATAATTATTAAAAAATTATTATAAAATAGATTAAAGTATCAACAGTTGTAAGTTAAAATAGGCAGAAAATTTAGAAAGAAACGAAGTTGAAATGCTTTGTTTACGTGTGTATTGATAAATCGTGACTTTATGAAATATGGTACAAGATCTGAATAATGCAAGCACTTAAATATTAATTTTATGTTAAATCTGAGAAACGTTATTATTATTTTTTAACTAGTGCACTGTCCTAAAATAACATTACCGCGTTGAATATAAGACTGCGAACTCACTGCAATGCTTGTAGTAAGATTAAAGCTTTGTTACATACTAAATTAGACTGTCTATGGACATTTCTGAAAAAAATAAATATAAACATTCCCACAATACATCACTTTGGCCACACATTCCTCTCACGAAGAGATTTTACGGAACACATATTCTTATCATGATTATAAGAACGCGTTAGGCACAAAGTAGTTAACCAGATAACACAGCAACATTAACTGTAAAAGCAGCATCCTAAAAAGTAAAACAGTAAACACCCAGTCAAGTAACCGTGTTTAGTATACAATAGAATTTAACGTCCACATAACATAGCATCAAAGCACCAAATAGATCATTAGCAAGTAAAGATATCGACTCGCATAGGTAATTACTCTGTGATACTAAATCTACAGAACTCGAAGTTGGCTGCACTTGTTTTCCAAACCATATCCTAAAACCTGTGAACAATGATAGAATCAATTAGCATAAATCATAATTTACTTACAAAGTCTTCACTGGATAACTCTTTCAATAAATCGATGACAAATCTTAGACGACCAGTGCTAATAAAACGAGACTGTAAAATGGCAAGAGAAACGTCAGAAAACATATTTTCGCGCACAAAGCTTAAATCCCCGCACTTACCACACGCCATCTTTCATTTGGACTACATGACCAACCTAATGGCGCAAAATGTAAAATTATTTTAGAAATTGTCAATTTGTAATTTTATTCAGCTGTAATTTCAGGCCATTCTCCCCGAGTTTTGTATATAGTATTTAATCGTACCATTTATATGAAGGAAATAGAAATTCAAAAGATTCGGGACGGAATGGTAGCAAGCATGTTCCAAATAAAGTCTTCTCTCAACTTCGTGAAGATTTTTTATTTTATTCTGTCGCCACATACTTGAGGACTTTGTTAGTTATTATTATGAGTTTTTACGGACGTGTGCGCAAATTTAAACATCACTTTTCCCGTGTTGCATACTAACATCTACTTCCCACATAATACTTCTGAACGTTTCTGACGAAACTGTAAGCAACTGTACGTAATCTTGCTTCTGTATAATTACTTGGATATATCCATTATCTTAATCTTATTTATAACGTACAGTTTTAGAAACTGGGCCGATAACAGGTACCAAACCGTTCTTTATATCATTCAGCAATCAAATGGCAGTAAATTCGTGTTTACTTTCGTGTGGATCCTATGTTAAAATGCGTAAATTTTGAAATGCTTACAATGGAAGCCTGCCAATATGATGACTAATAGTTCTTAAAGAACATGGTAAATTCCGACCTCGTAACCAGATGTTATTATATCAGAAGAGGTATGAGCGCTGCCAATAAATAAAATATAGAACGAGAAAGAACGAAACTTTCGTAATTTTGAATATCATAATTTTTATAGAACCGGAAATAATATCAATATAGAGGGCAGAACTAAATCACCATTAAAGAAGAATACTTTCTATAACCACCACCAGAGTGGAGCACTGATCGATAACAACGCCAGACATACTACTTAAATCGCCATCAGAGTGCAGCACTGCTTGATAACATTTACATTAGTTAGCAACAGACACATTCTATTCTTATATTATAACAAAGCTCATGGCATTGTTGACCATAAGAAATTATGGGAAATAATATAAACATATAATATTCTTAAAAATTTAACCAATGCCATTAAATTTATGTATATTAATACTAAATTGTGATTCCATTGATAAGGACATGGAAAAATGTATAATCTTAAAAGTAAATAAAGGCCTGCTTCAGGGATGTGATTTGTCACCTATACTATTCGATCTGTACATAAATAAAGGTTTGGAAATATGGAGCACCTATAGTCTAAAAGGAATCCAATTAACGCTATATTGTTTGTGGATCATCAAATTGTATTAGCAGAAGAAGAAGATGGCTTTCAAGGGGGGGGGGGGGGGGAAAATAAATAAAGTAACGAAAACATACAACATAAAGATCTCATGTATTTATACAAAATCTATGGCCATACCGGGACAAGATGAAATGAGACTAAAAATAGTTAATGATGGAGAGAGTTTTGAACAAGTATCAAATTTTTATATATTAGGGCTGTAAAATATCTGCGATAGAAATGAACGCAGATTCAGAGAAAACAAACAAACAAACTGAATGTGTGTATTAAAAGACATTTCGGAACCAATACGAGGAAAGATAAGAAACAAAGATTATATAACTTATTGTTAAAACCAACTCTTAAATATACCAGCGAAACATAGACATTATGGTCACGAGATAAATGATTAGAGGCTGGTCAGATGTTTTTCATGAGATTCCTTTGTGGAGTGACTAAGGGAGAGAGACTGGGGAATATAAATTTGAACACAATTAGGAGAAATTAACATTGTCAAAGAAATATAAAGAAATGGAAAGACCAAGTACTCAGGATGACACCACAAAGATATCCACGGCAAGCATTATTTTATAGTCTGACTGGATGGAGAGACGTAGGTCGAAAGTGCAGGAGATTGAATGACTAGTTTTAGCCACGGAACAGGCCTATGGAGGCATAAACCTTGATTGGGAAGAATACGAAGACTAACAGACACAGTATTATATGTAGATGTATTTCCCAAGATACTCTGACTGCAAATATGCTTTATGTGTGTTTGTCATGGATTAGTTTTGAATTCTTGAATGCGACCTACATCTCCCGCTGCAGAACAGTGTTGGTTATCCTGCAAGCTTAACTGTTTACGTTGGCTACTCCGAAGCGTCTTGAATATCAACATGGATACGTTTGTGTATCAAAGGTGACAATCATAAGTCCTTTAACAACATGTATTGCTGCTGTTGATGCATGACTGCCATTTTATCCCTTATTTGTTGAATAAAAAATGCAGGTTTGTTAGGTGTGTGTAACAGTAGTTGTTTTGCATATTGAATTGCAAGGTTCTCATCGTCGGCGTATAGGATGACGACATCGGGGCGTGACGATCCCGTGCGAATTTTGCAAACATGTTTTGTAGCTCCTACCATGTGTTAGTAGTCCCAGAAATTGTATACTGCCACGTGTATTTGAATAAGTGGAATTTGTATGTGCATTTTGTGAATCATAGAAAATTAATATTACAGGTAAGGTACAATAATTCCAATGATTACAAGGTAGTTTTTAATTTATGAACCCTTTGGTAAAATGGAAATTATAGAAAAATTACTTCTTAATTGTATTTTCAGCAGTGTTGACTTATTATGGAGGATATTTGGAAGTTAACTATCGTAGAAACTGTAGATACTGCTAAAGAGTATGCATCAAAACTTGAAGATCTTATAAAGTCAGTTGAAGTTGCTAAAGAACAGGTAGGTGCAATATTATGTTTCAAGGTTATTTGATGTATGAGTGATATTTGATGTATTTAAACGCAATATGTAATGTGTTATTTATAATATTTTCAGGTAAATGCAAGTACACAGAAGGCAATTGAAGATATTGACAGTGCATTTGATTTGTTTACATCAGTTTTGGTGGATGCCTTGCACAAAAGAAGAAATGTGCTGAAAGCTGAAGCCTTCAGGTTCCAAGAGGAAGGTCTGATCCCTCTGAAGGAATGTCATGATCTGATTGCAGGGAAGTTAAAATCCACAAAACTTTATGTTGAAGAGGGGCACAACATCTTACGAGCTGGTGGACTATCTAGTTCAGAAGAAACATTAATGTTCAGTGAGAAGGCTTCTCTGCTAGGAAGGTTGGTTAAGGTTCAGTGCAGAGCACTGTTTGGATTGGCCACTTTTCCATATTTTTGGAAGGTTTAATTTTGTTACGCCAGTTTAGCATAGCTAACGTAAATCCAAACTGTAAAATATTTATAGAGTATATGGTTATCCAAAGAAGCCAAAGTCATCTGAAAGCCTAGAAAGTGGCCAATTTCAAATAAACTGAATTGCAGTCCAAACATCTTATTCCAAAAAGGGAACTTGTAACCATGCAGAAGTCATTTGTAACTTTGAAGTCAGAAACTTCTATTTGAATGAATAATGCAAAGTTTTATTGTGAAGGATCACATTAAATATGATGCTTGCAGTTTACCAGCAGTTCCCAGTCTGGAGGAGGTACCAGACATTTCATTTCAGTGTCCTGTGGAGTCTGTAAGGGTTAAACTACAGCAGACACTTTCAGGAGTGGGGAAAGTATCAAGAATGGGGCCGGTACAGGTTACAGAAGTGGATGAGAAACCTGGGGCACTTCTGGTACGGTGGGAAGAGGTATGCTGTATATGTCTGTATTCTGTTGAGTCTCACAGGAATGTTACTCATCACAGGTGTATTGACTGGTTAACAGTATTTATACTACATAATAAAATTTAAATTTAAGTTTGAGTATATGCCAGTGGAAGATTAAAATTAGGTGGTTAGAATTTCTAAGAAACTAATACAAATATTTCTGAACGTTATCAGTAATGAAGTGGAATTTCTAACAATGTAAAAGCAAATCATTCATAATCATGTGACTGGTGATAAATGCTCATTATGACTAAGGATGCCTCAAAGTCCTAGTTATCTGTTTTATATTAATTTTGTTTTTCTGAAGTCAGTCATACCCCTCATTCATCATTGTGTTTTATAGGTGGATTTTGAACGGGTAGTGGACATCCATAGTTTCCGGCTTCAGATGGCTTATGACGACGTACGAGGCCAGATGAGTCTCCTGAAGGGCAACTTCCATGATATTTATTTTGGTCCGGAGTGCCAGTACTTGGTGCGTGACCTGTGTCCTGGCGTGCCATACACATTCCGAGTTAGCTGTCAAGTAGAAGGGGACATAGAATGGAGTGCTTGGTCATTACCTCATGTTGCCACAACAAACTACGCTCCATTTTGTAAGTTCGGATCTGATGACACCTTTCAGGTTTACTTTCCAAAGTGTCTGACCACTTAATGTGTGACAGGTGTTTCGTTCAGCACTGATGATCTGGTCAAAAAATTGAAATCACAGGCTCATTTATTATTGTGATCACAAAAACTAGCTTACATACTCACAATTTATTTTCTAAATGAAATTTCATACGATCTTTTCGTCTATATTTGGGGAAAAGACTTTTTCCGGTGCCACTTTGTTCACTACAGATCCAACATGGACTGTCCTGGAGCACAAACCTGGACTTCTACGTTGAGAAGCCAGTGCCTAACCGTCTGAGCTATGGCACGGGCATATTGCACTAGCTACATGGGATCCTTAATATGTTGCAGGCTGGGATCTGTCAAATTCAAACTACAAGATAACCAATGAGAACAAAATTGCTACAAAAACATCGACGGACCAGTCTGTTCTGTTCTCCAGTTCTGCTCAGTTTGGACCCGGCCACTCGATTGAATTCACAGTATGTACTATGCATGACATCATTACATGATATTTATGTTGACACCATTGCTGGAAATGTGTTCTTGTAGTTTGTGACAGCCAGTACAGTTGGCAGTAATTTGCGAAACCAAAGTGCTCGGAACTGGGAGACAGTTGGACGTGTTATTGACCATTTACGACCACCATCAGATCAGGAATGCGTGTAGCTTTATATCCTTGAATTGAACTTGTGGTACAGAGCAATGATTTTACTTTACTTTACTTTATTTTGGCTGTTGATAATTGACACAATTAGTGTGGAAATTGTTAAGGTTTCTTGCTATGTGTCAGTGAGACTTTTCTAACGGACTTATAGTTTTAATAAGCATAATCAGAATCAGTCTGCAACTTTTTTACTTTTTATTCTTGTGTATTTGATTCATGCATATGAAATGTTTTCTGAACTCTGATGTATATGACAGGTGCTGGATTGTGGGGTTGGCTGCAGTGACGAAGGAGTCGGGCTTGTCGATACAAGAGTCAAAGGTGAAAACTTACTGCAACCTGGAGCATTGTTCCTCAGCACACTAGGTGACGTTAAGATGCACCGTATGCTAATAATATGTTTGGCAGATGCCTGCTATTATTCCAGTTAATTTGGCTGGTGTCTTTATGGTTCTCACTCTCGCCATGAAATTACTTGTGCCTTGAAAACAGGCAGGGGCTGCTAGTGAAAGCACCAAATAAACTCGCTCTATTTACTTTTTTATTTTGTTCCCATTCAGGTTCTGTGTTTGTTGATGGAAGAGAGAAGACAACAAAGTTACCAAGGTTAGACAAGGGCTCTAAGGTTAGCTTCACGTGCGAACACATACGTGACAGCAAGGTCCGAGTTAACATCGACAGTAACAACAAGACTGTCACGTATGACTGGAACATCTCCAGCCCAGATCTGAAACTTTCATTTGCCATTTGCTTTGGAGAGTGCAACTGGAAAGTGCTTGTTGAATAAAAGTATTTAATTTGTATTTAGTGAGAGATGGATTGTCTTGCATTACACACAGATGTCTTAACACAATGACTCTTAATACATCCGAACAGCATGACATAAATCCACTACTCATGTAAATGGATTCTCAAAAATGTAAATATTCATATGAGAGTCATTGTCATTTTTTATCTTATCCATATTACATGAATAAAATGTTTTATATCTTGAAATATGAAGCCCTATCACCATCAGTCTGTATTGCAGAGTTGCAGATTGTAGTCTTGTAGGTGATTCTGGAAAAACGTAGAATTTCACAATCTGAAGTGTCACTGCTGTGAGAAACTCAAATCTTATATTCATAATTTGCTTAATTGAGCAAACAGATGATTTCAAGTGTAATGTGATTCTGTAAAGTCAGCTGTTAAAATGTCACTTTGTCAAAGGTTTGAAAGCATTGTTTTATTTTCTGTAATTCCTAAATTATTTTAAATCTATGCCATGTCTCAACTCCAAAATTGGAAGGATTTTAGCCTTGAGTAGCATGACAGGAAACAAAATATATCCACAAACATACATGACCTAGACAGGATTTAACCCATGGACTGCAGTATCTGCTCAGCCATTGACCTTGCTTTCATTAAGCTGCAAGTTCACTCATCTCTTTATTTAATATTTAATGAAGTAAAAAAGGTCATGGCTGTCATGGTCCTGTCTGCATTTAAAGGCTTTACTGTACTTTAACACAGTGCAGTTGTGATATATGTTAGTGTTCATGCTGCCTGTGGGTGCTGGTACAATGTGTAAGTGGGCTGTGCTGCCTCTGTGATCAGGGCTTAAGTGAGGAAGTGAAATAGTACATTTGTCACTTCAGCCCTGGTGATGGACATGGCGTGTTTCTCTCAGCTCACATCCATGCATGCCAGCCCCTCAAAACAGGATCAACATCAATAATGATTCACTGCGAAATGTTAATCGCTGTTAGACACTGCAGAGGAATTTAGAGGTGTGTTGAAGCATATGGCAAGTCTAAAGGTATGCAGTATTTTTTAAACTTCATTGTTATGTATTCAACAATGAGTGTTGAAATGTTAACAAACCTGTTTCAGGTATGTGGTACAGTTTTAAGAGTTGTTCATACAAGTTTTTAAATATAATTAGAATAATGTAATGTTTACAGTGTATCTCCTTCATTGGTATAGAAACATTTTTATTAAAAAAATGATTCCCAGAAGCACTTGTTCAAGGTGTGTGGGTACTGAACATTTTCTAATGTAATTTACTTTTCTCTATAATGTAATCTCCTTGGGATTTGACCAACATTTGAGAGGTGCTTACTGTCTCCATCATTGAGGACATTGGTTGCCCTGGTGATGACACTACACAGTGCAACATGGCAGAAGACATCATCTTCAGTGGATTTTGTTTTGGACATGGTACAGTTTGTAATACCAGATATTTGAATAATCAGAATGACTTTGGTTAATACATAAACTGTGAAGGTTGGTGTATGTTTTGTAGTTCAGAAAATGAACTTATCTTGTAAGTGCCTGTGCTGTGAATGAGTTTCCTTTTGTGTGATCACATACAGTGTTCTGATATTTAATACAGTTTTGTATTCATATTCACTCATTTCTTGAAACTTGCATTGATATTCTAAACCAGATATTCTGTTCTTGGCTAAAGTATACAGCCAGTAGCATATGGAGGTTTCATTTTGGGAGATGGGGTCATATTTTGTAAAATTAATGTACAAAATGTACTTTTTATTATGTAGGTACATACAAAATAGCTCTTCTGTTGACAAGATGACCTTAGGTAATGTTTTTAAACAAAACTTATTGGTTTTACAGCCACTGGGTGAAGATTATACACATTGAGGTGATGTTTGCAAGTCAATGGAACCCAGCTTTACAAGACAACAATGAAAAACTTGTTTTGTGGTGCAAAGGGAAAGATTATTCTTGGGAAACAGGTAGTCACTCAACAGGTCAAAAAGTGCTCAGATGTTCATACCTTGTTTGCAAGAATCTGTCCTGAGCCAGATGAATCCAGTCCACATCCTTGTCTCCAGTTTCATCTATCTGCGTCTTCCAAACAGCCTCTTTACTTCTGATTTAATAACTGTTTGTTTTTGCATTTCCCTTCTGTCACTGGTGCTCCATGGGTCTGATATTGGGATCTGGATGTTTTAGAGGTGGGGTGCTGGCTGGCTCTTCAGCGTTGTTCTACAACACTGCTAACTATGGCAATAATCCATCAGCTTGATATTAATGTATTTATTATTGGTAAAAGCTATAAAGTATGGGTCTATTGATTTAAAAATGTGGATGAATTATTATCTCTCTCGGTTGTGTTTTATACTCTTCTCTCCATCATTGAGGACATTGGTTGCCCTGGTGATGACACTACACAGTGCAACATGGCAGAAGACATCATCTTCAGTGGATTTTGTTTTGGACATGGTACAGTTTGTAATACCAGATATTTGAATAATCAGAATGACTTTGGTTAATACATAAACTGTGAAGGTTGGTGTATGTTTTGTAGTTCAGAAAATGAACTTATCTTGTAAGTGCCTGTGCTGTGAATGAGTTTCCTTTTGTGTGATCACATACAGTGTTCTGATATTTAATACAGTTTTGTATTCATATTCACTCATTTCTTGAAACTTGCATTGATATTCTAAACCAGATATTCTGTTCTTGGCTAAAGTATACAGCCAGTAGCATATGGAGGTTTCATTTTGGGAGATGGGGTCATATTTTGTAAAATTAATGTACAAAATGTACTTTTTATTATGTAGGTACATACAAAATAGCTCTTCTGTTGACAAGATGACCTTAGGTAATGTTTTTAAACAAAACTTATTGGTTTTACAGCCACTGGGTGAAGATTATACACATTGAGGTGATGTTTGCAAGTCAATGGAACCCAGCTTTACAAGACAACAATGAAAAACTTGTTTTGTGGTGCAAAGGGAAAGATTATTCTTGGGAAACAGGTAGTCACTCAACAGGTCAAAAAGTGCTCAGATGTTCATACCTTGTTTGCAAGAATCTGTCCTGAGCCAGATGAATCCAGTCCACATCCTTGTCTCCAGTTTCATCTATCTGCGTCTTCCAAACAGCCTCTTTACTTCTGATTTAATAACTGTTTGTTTTTGCATTTCCCTTCTGTCACTGGTGCTCCATGGGTCTGATATTGGGATCTGGATGTTTTAGAGGTGGGGTGCTGGCTGGCTCTTCAGCGTTGTTCTACAACACTGCTAACTATGGCAATAATCCATCAGCTTGATATTAATGTATTTATTATTGGTAAAAGCTATAAAGTATGGGTCTATTGATTTAAAAATGTGGATGAATTATTATCTCTCTCGGTTGTGTTTTATACTCTTCATTAAGTAATGCTAGCAGCAAATTTGAACAAAATAAAATACCTATCCACACAAAAATGATTTAGTTCTCCGTGCATTTTGGTTAAACACAAGGCCTTGGAAAATTTGAAACTGACCATCTGAGTTTGTTGGTACAGGTTAATTGACATCTGGACATTCACATATTTATTTAGTACTGTTTTCAATAAACATTTTACACTTGTACATATCTTGGTAATTATAACAATTTAATCTTATTCCTAAGCCTAGTTTTATTCAGAAATTGCTATAAATTATACTAAAAGTAGAAAAGGAAATTCTAAATTGTACCAGGAACTTTCAGTAATAGAGATATTAAAATATGTCATTTAAACTTGCCAGCTATATTTGAAATAAGTTATCTGATATGAGCCAGTGTAACTCAGACAGTATGACTGAATGATGGCAGCTCGATCCTTGAGGGGGATAGAGGACTTTTCCTCTAGCCTTTGTATCCAGAATGGTTCCAGGGCCCATCCAATGGGTACCAGGGTCCTTTTCCAGGGCATGATGCTGACCATTCACCCTCATCTAGTGCCAAGGTCAAGAATGAATAGGAGCTATACCTCTCCCCCCCCCCCCCCCCC